GCCATCCCCCCCAGGGCGTGAGTTCTCACTTTCTGCTTTCTAATTGGGAAATTTCTTTCTCTCTGGTGAGCACACACACCCTATAGCAAAAAATCTCTCTTTAAAAAAAATCATATCATAGGGAACCAGTTGTTAGCGTAATGGCTATGTCGCTGGACTCCCACGGAGTCAACCGCAGTTCGCGTCCCGGACCCGGTGGCTAAAAACTCACGCCAGGCACGTGTGCGTGTGTGCCCAAGATCCCGAGAGGAGAATGGAGGAGAAGGGATTGCGGCATGGCCATCCCCCCTGGGGGGTGATTTCTCGCTTTCTGTCTCTCTGTCTGTCTGGCGAGCACATGCGCCCTATAGCGAAAAAACCTCTCCAAAAAAAAAAAATCATATCATATCAAAAATAGGAGGTTTATGCAAGGATACAATAACGCATAGAGAAGAGGCATCAGGAGAAGTCGAGAGGGGAGAATTTAGTATAGGCCTTTGAGGTACATTTTTCTCCCAAGATTAGAAATGGTATACATGGGCCTGCAGGTGGTGTGGTGGTTGAGGTGGTGGATTCTCACATGGTTTACTGTGGCTTAACACTGGACCTGGTGGCTTGCTTTCTCACTACTCCCCCATCTCTCTCTGGTGAGTGCATACGCCCTATATGCGTAACTAAATAATAAATAAATAAAATTAAATAAATAATTTTCTTTTAAGCAATTATTTATTTAATTTTATTAATTTATTATTATTTTTTCAATTTGATCAGAGAGAAGAAAAGAGCAAGAGAGAGAAGGAGAGTGAGAAAGTAAGCTGCTAGGTCCAGGACTTGAATCGTAGTCGGCCATGTGGGAGTTCAGTGCCTTAACCACATGCCACCTGCTGGCCCCAATAAATAGTTCTTTATAAAAAAAAAAGAAATGATATACACAATCCAACATTAGGAATGTTGGCCTACAGAAACAGAAAATTAAAGCTGTTGCTCTTGTAATTGCAGAGAAAATTTCTAAGTCATCTTCAGTGAGATTCATGGGGTAAAGACAGAAGAGAGAAGGCAAAAACAGCATGACTTGTCCCAGTATGCACAAATGGGCATTTTCCTTTGCTTTCAGCTTTAAAATTGCAAATAGTGGGGATAGCGAGAAGTTAGTTATCAACAGAGACCATCTATACAAAGAGGGATATTTGTCTAAACATCTTTGGAAGGGAATGGAGTGAGGAGAGTTTTGATCTTTTCTGAGAATTGGTAATGACATTGGATCAATGTTTTTAAATACAGAAGCTTCATTACTCAAAATGGGCATGGTTCTATTGTTATGTACATAAGCTTAAGTCTACATGGAATTAAGTTAGTTAGGGAAAAAAAAACCCATTCTTTTCACACAGAGTTCTCCAGTAAGGAGTAATGAGATTTTGACCATTCAAAGATATCTAATAAATAACTTTCTTCTGATTAAACATTGATTGTACACATGGAAATTGAGAAACGATCAGCATTGTCTACTTATTTTTACTTCACAATTTCATGTTCAAATACTGACGTTATTTGTTGTGTTATGTAATGCAGCCTTATTCAGAAATTGTTTTCCTGTGTGTGTGTTCGTGTCCCCATTTCACTTCAGCTTCTAATGAACAGAGACTATCTTTCCTGTTTTTCTCTTATGGAGTGTCTAACAGTTCCAAACACATACTGAGTGTTTCATGTGTTCTCGTTGATTGATGTGTAGCCTGGAGCTGCCCCCTCTGGGCTCTTCGCCTAATGCTCAGAAATTAAAGGCATTGTCCACCTGCTGGATGGAAGACTCTTCCTTTCTGTGTCTATATTCGGTCCCAACTTATCTTGAGAAGATCTTATGAAGATAGGAGGGTGTGGTGAGCTTTCCTCTCCTAAGTATGTACCTGCCATGTTCAGTTTAATGTGGCGCTAGTATCCTATGGTTCTCTTCATTTGTTTAAAATGATAATATTTGTTTTTTTTTTTTCCAGGAATACATCTTTATTAAGATGTCCTGTGCGTGCACGTTAACATGTCAGCATAATCTAATTATGAGTCAAATGAGGCACAGCAGCAGTTACATCATTTGATAAATTTCCATCATTTGCAGGGAACTGTTGACTTGAATCTAAATATTTTTTGACAGCCTCAATACCACCAATGTTCTATAGTGTTGTAGAGTCTAGGACTGTAAGTGGAGGGGCATCTTTTTATTCCATGATGACTGCAACCCAATTTTGAAAATAAATGCAAAAAATCTTTTTAGCTTTAGTTATGGTCGTGAGGGAGGATACTGCGTGATCACTATAGGCCAGGGAAAATGTCAAAGGATTTAGCTTAATCTGCTTTGGTTAGGATTTCCTTCTGCCCTTCCCCTAGTCTCACTGAATTTTTATTCCACTCATGAAAAAGTTTAGAGACATAAGAATAAATAGAGCCAAACCTAAATGTTATGCATGTGATTCAAAGAAATAAGAATAGAGTGCTTCACAATAAAAATTTTGAATATGGATCTTTTGTTTGGGTGCATGCATTTTATGATCATTGCATTAAAAAAAAACCCTACTCTAAGATGATGAGAAATAAACTGAGCTTCCTACCAATTTGTTTAAAAAATGTTCTTTTAAAATATTGCTCTGAAAATTTAAATGAGAGACTGAAACTCGTACTTGGAAACAAAAATGTACAGAATGCAAAAGGCTGTTTTGTTCTTTCAAGAACACAAAATGAACACAAGCAGAGCACACTGGTCAGCTATCCAGGGCCTTGAGAAAGGGGCATCACGCTCTCCTGGTTTCTTTAGTCATCAGGGGTAGAGCTTCCCTTACTTTGACATGATTTCTGTGTTTCATTCACAGTCCATTTAGTGCTATAAAATAATATGATAGAAAAGAAAAGGACAGGGAAGGAAATGAGCTTAGTCTCTTTGGGCTTCCAGAGAATTATAACCCTGGAAACATTACTGTGACCTTAGGAACATTAGAGAGAGCTGATGAAAACAAGGAAGGGTGTGATGACAGCAGTGGCAGCCACAGTGGCATATGCGAGGGCACCAGAAAGAACCAGGCAGGGGGTCGGGTATTCACTATTTCTGCGGTCGCAGAGGCAAAGAGGGGGATAAACAGCTCCCAGAGGAAACTGGGAAAGTTAGGGAGGGTGAGGCAGGTTGGTTTGCTCAGTTTGTTACAGGTAAGGAGGTGCAAGGCAATGAACAGAAACATCTTAGGGGCTCTATGAAGACATCAGAATTCTTTTAGGGTTGAAAGAAGGTCATGTGTAATTCCTGTATGGAAACCGAGGGCCAACTGTCTCAGACAACCACAAAAGAAGGCTGGGAATACATATCAAAATGGCTTTTGTTCTGAATAATGAAGCTATGCATTGGTCAAAGAGCTGGAAAAGGACAGAATAAAGGGATAAACTAGAGGAAGAATTTCCCCATGCTGTCTAAGTGTAACCCAAAAAGCCAAGCAAGCCAGGGACATGGGGATGATATTTTAATCTCTACTGCATTTCCACCTCTCTGGTTAGGACCTCTACTGTGTTCAACACACTACTTGTTTACATCATTCTTCTTATTTCCCCAGTTAAATTTGTGAGACCAGAACACATTACTCATCTTTGCTACCTCCAGTGCTGAGAGCAAAGGGAGTATTCAATACATACTTGATTATTGAAGTGGAAAAGATATTGAGAACTGTGCTGAAATGTTTTCCATTTTTTTCAGTTTAATAATCACTAGTATCCTGAATTCTTACCCTGTATTATACAACTAAAAAATGTCTACTTTGTTCTTACCCTGCTACAGCAAAGACTGTCAAATGATACGGTCCTCCAAAGATATTTCAGTTTACCCTGAAGGGTAAGAATGAAATTCAGCACCTCTGATGGATCTGATTATTAAAGAAAAAGTGAGGGAGGGGATTGATTTATTTTGATGAAAATGATTTCTCAATGGCCCGCTGTCCTAACTATTTTATCAACCAAAATTACTTCTACAAAGAGTTGTAGAGGATGGGGAAAAGGTATTATGTCTGCTTTTCCCTTTACCAGCTGGGTGCATAATTCTCAGCCCCTGAGCTCATCAAAACAGTAAGCAGATTTGAGATCCTCTGAGATCACACACAATTTAAAACTTGCTATTCATGCTTCAGATGATAAACTTGGAAATAAGACATCGGCGGGACACAGAAGCAAAGGAAAATCAGCAAACCGTAAACGAGAGGATCAGAGACCAAAGCCTTCTCACTAAGCTAGGTTTCCTGGTTCTTACTCAGGTTCTCATGATAATTTGTATTGTACTCTCGTGCCATTTAGATCCCTGTCCTCTGATGCATGGTGCAGGTGATCTGTAAGATGCTGGGAAGAAGCACAATGAATGTATATGCAATATTAAAGTCTTTGATTTCTAATATTTATAAGGTGCAATGAAATAATTTTAGAAAACCTTCAAATAGGGTGACAAGTGCATTTTAAGACAATGTTTAAATGGATCCGACTCCATTAGTGAAAAGTAGAAGATTCAGGGAGAAATGATTTGTGCTCAGCTCTGCCCTGCATTCGGCACCAGTTGATTTCAGGACTGGGAGTTGGAGGGTCTTGGCTGACATTTTACCCAAGGCTCTAATTTCTTTAATGACTGTATTCAAGGCTTTAAGAAAAAAAAAATCTGAGCTTTAGACTCAAGATCAGATCAAACAGATACAAATTTTGAATAGTTCTTCTCATTTGGTGACTTAAACAAAACCAGCCATACTCTCCTCCTAGCCTCCCAAAGTTCTTCATTTTCTTTGGTGGCTTAAGTAGAAAAAAGTAGGAAATAAAATTTAAAACTGAAAGATATGATCAGTTTACTTTTAGAGTCAAAGGTCTTTTAAAAAGAATTCTAGGCCAACTGACTTTACTTTTGAGATACTTTGAACCTGAGAATATGAAATCATGCCAGCCCATTCAGCTTCCAAATAGCAGCTGGCAGGGCTTCAGCTATTATTAATGTACTCTTGTTTCATGTAACTTTCACTTACGCCTACTTTCATAAATGGCTCTAGATTTCTCGTAGAGCTCATATGGGTCAGGCTTCCGTGGGTCAAAGGCCTCTGTTGAGTCAGGAAATGAACTCCTGTGAAGGGCGGGTGGGAAGGGCAGGTTCTGCGGTATGGCCGGAGCAGATAAACTCGTTTGAGGACTGCCTTGATTCTCCCATCGGTCCATTATCTGAAAAGTGAAAGAGAACAGAGAAAGTGACTGATGGTGTATTGTTCCTAGCTATTTCCTTTGTCATCTTTAAGTTAGACTTTGTTGCCTTGGGGTCTTTTCTTCCAGGAAACATTGAAAACTTTGGTATAAATGCCTTGAAAGAAAAGATTATATTTCCATATATGAAGGCATCATAGCCTGTTATAAACAACAGTAATACCCGCCTTTTGAATGAAAATTTATATAACCTCTTCACCTATTAGCTGGTACGCTAACAAATCATTTTCTGTAAGTCATTTTTCTTATTCCCTTATGAAATCAAGATAACATGTACCTCCAGTTTGTTTATGTGAAAATGCTTAGAAATGTATGATATTATTTTCCCTTATCAAAGATGGTCCTGATGTATTATATTACTTACTGAAACAGAAGATAAAGTGGTTTGCACATATTCATTTGACACCTATGCATAGTCCAACAAGCTCCTGTCCTTAAACATTCAATCCCTTTCCTGTCAGTTTTTAAGTAATTATGCAACCATCTGGGATTCAGGAATTGTTCAAGGTCTCCTAAGAAGCCTCATATACTGATGATCTAGTGATTTCTTCCCCAGAATGCTGCTGCTGATGCTGCTACCACAACTTACTAAAGATCTGTAGAGCACTTTCCAGTTTACCATGCTCTGTAACAAACATGGGCTTTGATCCTCTGTGAGGTAGAAAAGTAGAGACCAGTGTCTTTGAAAAATAAATTTAGCTAAAGGGTGTGCGTGCTTGCCAGAGAAAGAAAGAGAGAGAGAGAGAGAATCTCCATGGAGAAGAGTCATGCTGCTATTGCTTCTCCTTCATTTCTCCTTTCAGGATTTTGGGCGTGCATCACACATGTACCTAGTGTGTTTTCAAGTCATCAGGTCTGGGACTCAAACTGTTCAGTTGGCCATGTAGGATCCAACTGCCTTAATCTCTGTGCCTGTGGGCTGGTCCTATTAATTAGTTTTTTAAATTCAAGGAGGAAGCCAGGTTCATTGAGGTCACCTATTGATACCACTAACTTTACTTCTATTCAACAATCAACTATTCTCTCATTCAAGCTCAGCTTCTGTTTTCTGCTTTGAAAGTATGTGTACAGTTAGATTAGGTTACCCTGTTGCCTATAATTCTGCACTGGGTCAACATGGTCCTCAGGATAAAGGCTAAACTCCTGGGTAGGATGTAGTAGGCTCCCCATGACCCAGACTGGCTCATCTTTCTCATATCTTCTAGAAGTCTCCTCTTGTTCCTTAGAATCTCTCAGGGCTTCTGAAGCTTTATAAGGCTCCTATATTTCTCCTTCCACCTACACAGTCAAAGTCAACCCATTTTCCACTCTTCCATTCCCTTCCCTCATTGTACCTGGCCACATCTCCTTTCTTAGAGGGCTTTGGTTGACCATGCTCTTCTTGGGTGCTCTAACAGCACCATCTTTATACTCCTCATACCACTTGTCACACCCAGTTGTAATTATGTGTCCATGTCTCTTCGGATAGATCATGTTGGAGGCAAGGACTGCATCTTTCTCATTATCATATTACCAGTGTGGAGTACATGCTCAGGAAATGTTCCTTTACGATGAATGACAGCATGCATAAAATATGGTCACTTGTTTTTAAAACAAACTTTGAACCACAATATTTTGCATTTGGTAAGATGATAACTTTCTGTCTTCTACGAACTATCTGACTTTTCTTTTTGCACTGGCAATATTTTTATCAGGGTCCAACTCCAGTTTTGGTCAATCTACTATCAATATTTTAAAGCTGAAAGAGATGTCAGGAACCCTATATGCTAGCGTTTTCCAAACTGTGCACATGCACTTTGTAATACTAGACATCCCTGTGGCCCACCTGACCACCTGGGATTGTGGCAGCAAAGAAATGAGTCACTGACTCTTCTTTCAATGAGATTGGTTTCATTTTCATTGTTTTCTACATGAGTTACTGCCAATGATTTTATATGAACAATTTCTATTGCTAACAAAAATAGAAAACCCCTAGTCTAGTCAATTTCCTCATATTAAATATTATCTCCAGAAGCATAGAGAGGGTAGGTGGCTTGTCTGAAGTCCAACAGTTGCTAGTGGCAGTTCCTGAGTCAGAACCAATGTATAACTCAAACAGGAGTTGCCATTTATGTAATAGTACACTTAGGGGAATAACTGATAAATATAGTTAGACTTTCAGCTAATTTTCTGCTCAGTGGGCCTTATGCTCCCATTTAGTAAAAATCTTTAAATATGCACTTCGTAACTCATTTAATATGAAAATTCACACAAGAGGCCATTCTGACTCTTATTTCTGGGTGATTTTGCTATGATGTGGAAGACCACATTTGGCCAAAGGCATCTTTTCTTGGTTTTGAATTTAACTGACTTAGGGGCACCATGTGGCATTCTGGCTGTGACTTTCCCTTCTGTTTATAAATATAAGATACTAATGCTAAAAAGTAAATACATTAGAAACATGGTCTGAGGAGCTATAGTGTCTCAGTTGCCATCATAGAGCTTCAGTAAATGTCTCTTTCTCTCATCTTCCACGGAGGGTTATTTGACACCCAAGTGACTCTGGCTGGTATATGCAATGCTCATGCACAGCCATGGAAGCAAACGTGCTTCAGGTGAAATATTGGCATTTCTAAAAAACAGTCTTAAAACTACAGAACAAATAATGCTTTGGGCACTGCTTGGGAAACTTTCTGTGGCAGACTGACAAATTCTACAATTTCTGTAGCAGAGAGATTGGGGAATTAGTCAAGAGTCCAGTTCATGCTTAGGAAAGCATTCACAACTTGCTGTGGCATTCATCAACTCCTGAGTCATTCTGTCAGGATTTCTTAGAAGACTAAAGAGTAGAAAATAACTATACCCATTAAGAAAGTAGACTAATATTTCTACCTCCTACCACTCTCAACTTGTTCCCTCCAAGTTTAGTAACCTAGTGGTTCCAACCCAGAAGATGGTGGAGCAAATCAGCTACCCTTGGATCAGAGGTCCCTTTCTTCACAGGGACTGGTGTGCTCGCCTGAGTATACCTTTCTACCTTTCTTTCTTTCTTTTTTTAAGAGAGATTTTTGCTATAGGGCGTGTACTGCCCAGAGAGACAGAGACACAAAAAGGGGAGAAATCACCCGCCAGGGAAGATGGCCATATGTCAATCCCTTTCTCCTCCATTGTCCTCTCAGGATCTTGGGCATGAATGCACATGCGCCTGGAGTGAGTCTGAGGCTACCGGGTTGGAATGAGAACCATGGTTGGCTGTGTGAGAGTTCAGTGACATAACCATTATGCCATCTGCTGGTCCCTCACCTGATCATGCCTTGTAAAAGGATTCTGTTCACTCCTGCCAACTTCCTTAGACACCTTAATCTCCGAGTGTTTTTACCTGAGACACTCTGCTCTTTCATATACCTCCTGAATTTTGATCCTGTCTTCTGGTCTAGGTCCATGAACCTCACTTGTTCTATCTAGAATCATTCTGCCCTTGTCCTGTCTAGAGTTTGTGTGAGCTTCCAAGTATTTATCTCTCAACGAAAATTTTTATGGGGTCTTTCCTGCCCAGCCCCAGTTCTGTCCATATTTAGGCTGACATTTATAAATGTCTTTCAGAGTTAGAAAGAATGGAAATAAAGTTGCTTTCCGAATTTGGGAAAGATTTTTATTTCTGCTGGTCTTGGTGAATGAATGAATATTTGTTGGACAGTATGAAAGACAGTCACTGAGATATCAGTAGACAAGGTGGACATTTAGTCCATGTCTAGGCATCAAATAGCAAAAAACAAACAAACAAATAAGCAAACAAACCCAATCATGATTGTGGCTAAATATTTTGAATACCAGATTCTGACTCTAGGGAAAACAGAGATTCGAAGGCTTATGAATATTGCAGTTCCCCATCTCCTCCATGAAATATTCTATCTAGAACTTGTTTTCTTCTATAGAAGCTAGTGTAATCTAAATATACCCCCTAACTATTTGGGGCAAGGTTGGGAGATATAACATTTAGTTGATTTTATACTTGAAGAATGAACTAGAATTTCTTCTACACTGAGAGACTGAGAATTCACTACAATTAGTGTATTATTTGTTAAACAAGAAGTGACTATCTTGACATAGATTAGCCTAAGATGTGGATCAGTAGGACAGAATAGGGTCAGAGAGTGACACAGGAAGGAAGAGGCTAGATTTAACCAGGATAATGTTTCCTTATTCTGACTAAGGATAGTATCAGTCTTTTTCAGAGGAAAGAG